GTTGACCGGCAGCACGTGCTTGCAGTCAGGGTCAGGCTCCAGCGCCTTGTTGACCCAGCCGGCGAACGCCACGCGCTCCTCCACTGTGGACGCGCGCACGCACGCACACACGCACGCGCACACGCACATGCATACACGCATGTGCACGCACACACGCGCAAGCACACACACACACGAACGCACACGCACGCACACACACGCACGCACGCACGCGCACACACGCACGCACGCGCACCCACGCATGCACACACACGCACGCACGCACACACACGCGTGGCAAGGGTCCAGGTCAACAGGGTCATCCGCGGGCAATGCCGCTTGACGCTGCGCCCCGCACCTCGCCCGTCGCTCTTAGCCAGATGGTGGTGATGGTGGTGGTGATGGTGGTGGTGGTCATGGTGGTGGTGGTGATGGTGGTGGTGGTCATGGTGGTGGTGATGGTGGTGGTGATGGGGAGAGATAGTGTAGCAGTCAGCACACTGCGCTATGAACGCGGCGACCCGGAACACGATTCCCGCTCACGGCCAACACCAGTGACGATTATCTGAACCGGTCCAGGGCCTCCCCTAGGTCGACTCAGCCTCAAGTGAGTACCTGGTGTGTAGTGTGTAAACATCGCCATTGAGAAGAGAAAGGCGGTCGGGAGTGGTGCTGGCCACCCACCCACCCAATTGTGTGCAGTGCCGGCTCTAATAGATGCTCGTTAGCAGTACTTGCCCTAACAGTCTGTTAAGGCTATATGGGGGATCTTTGTCTGAGGAGAGGCTGCCACTGCTCTGTCGGGAGCTGGACCGGTACCGCCTGGATCTCTGTGGCATTCAGGAGGTCCGGTGGACCGGTTCTGGCTCCTGCCACCATGAGGGGTGGACAGTCCTCTACTCGGGGCAGCAGACTGCCAAACAACAGGGTGTGGCTCTTCTTTTGAACAAAAGAATTAAGGGGGCGTGGGAGCGTGGCGGTGAGGTGTGGGAAGCTGTAAGCCCCAGGTTACTTTGGGTTCGCCTTCCCATCAACCGGAGGCGAGGAGTGGTGGGCGTGGTTACATATGCCCCCACCGAAGACACACGTCCGTGGAGGAATGCAGGCAAAGCCGATAAGTCAGATGCCTTCTATGACCTCCTGTCACAGGTGCTGGCTAAAGTCGCCCCTCGGGATAGAGTCATCTTGTTGGGTGACTTCAATGCCCGAGTTGGTCATGATGCTGGCACCTGGTCTGGAGTGATTTGAGGGTACGGGCCAGATCAGCTCAATAACAACGGTAGGAGGCTACTAGATTTTTGTGCAGCCCATGGGCTTGTAATTACCAACACGCTGTTCCGGCATCGGCACATCCACACAACATCATGGATGCATGCCGGGTCCAAGCAAGAACACCTGCTGGACTACATAGTGACGGACCAGCGGATGCAAGCCCATGTCCTTGACACCAGGACCTACCGTGGAGCTGATCTGCCCTCTGACCATCGACTAGTCATCTGTAAGATGCGCCTCCCATTCTTCCACTCTGGTGGTGGGTGTACACCCAGGACCCCATTCCAACCTAAAGTTGCCTGATCTCAGTTATCTGATGAAAGTTGCAAGCGAGAATTTCATCATCGCGTGTGGCTGGGGTTGGCATCGTCCCCCACTCCTCCTGATGTCGAGGGAAAATGGGCGAGATTTAGGACTGTGACTCATGCAGCTGCAATGGCTGCTTTGGGGACGCGGTCCAAGACCTCCCCATAGATCCTGGCTGACAGAGGAGGTGTTCAAGATGGTTGAGAAAAAGCGACAGGCCCATTGTCACTGGCTACAGAATCCCACGTCAGAGAATGAGGAGGCTTACCGCAGCCTTCGCTCGGAGGTTCGGAGAGCCGTGAGGCGCTGCAAGGATGGGTGGTGGTCGCGGGTTGCTGAGGAGATGGAGTCTGCCTCAGTGGCCCACGATCACAAATCTCTATTTAACTCCATCAAAAAAGTAACCTGCAGCGCCAGACCTATTACCATCATTAGGGAAAAAAACGGTGATCCAATCTCCGACCCCCAGGAACAGGTTTGCAGATTTGCTGAGCATTTCTGTGAGGTCTTGGGGGAGGGAAAATCCCTCAGCCAGGAAAACATTGTGGCACAAAGTGGAGATGACCCTACTGAGGCTGCAGTGCCTCAAATATTGGAAGAAGTCACCCCCTGTGAGTGGCTGGCTGAGGTGCCATCTGTTGAGGAAGTATTGAAGGCGATCCGGAGTCTGAGACCAGGAAAGGCAGCGGGCAGAGATGATCTCCCAAGCGAAATGCTGTGGGAGGGCGGCGTTTGTGCACAGACTGCCCTATATGACATCATAACAACAGTCTGGACCACTGGACGGGTTCCGCAGGATTGGAAGGATGCCCTGGTGGTCCCCCTCTTTAAGAAGGGGGACTGCACAGACTGTAACAACTACAGGGGCATCTCACTCCTCAGTGTGCCGGGAAAGGTCCTGGCAAGGATTATTCAACATCGCCTTGCCAGGCACGCTGAGGAGAGGCTTGCGGAGCCCCAATGCGGTTTCAGGAAAGGGCGGTCCTGCACAGATGCCATATTTTCTGTCCGTCTGCTACAGCAGAGGTGTAGGGAATTCCAGCAAGACCTACATCTCTGCTTTATTGACCTGGTCAAGGCCTATGATACCATCAGTAGGCCTGGGCTCTGGGTTGTTCTTAGTGCTTTTGGAGTCCCTGACCCTCTGCTCACGATAATTAAGGACCTTCATGATGGTGAGCGGGCCCGGGTAAAACTACGTGGCCGGGAGTCAGAGCCATTCCCTGTACACCTTGGGGTGCGACAGGGATGTCCTCTGGCTCCCACATTATTTAACATCTATTTTGACCACGTAGTTCGTGAAGCCTTCAATAGCTGTACCGGGGGAATCTCCATTTGGTACAGATATAATGGGAGGCTGATCGATGCCCGGGTGCGGTCAAGGGATGGCTCCCTATTGCTCAACCACGTTATGTTCTGATGATTTGGTAATAGCTGTTCATTCAGAGGAGGAGTTGGAGATGCTGCTGCTGAGACTGGAGCGTGCCACTAAGAGATGGGGCCTTACCATCAGCCCCACCAAAACTAAGCACCTGCCTGGGTATTTTGTACCATCGGACACTCCACCCCCACAACTCCCAATCGGTGATGGGGCAGTTGTGGAGAGAGTGGAGAGTTTCCCATACCTGGGCAGTGTGCTTATGACTGGCTCCAGTTTAACAGCAGAGGTCTCACTCCGAATCAGTCGAGCGGCAATATCTTTCATCGGTTGCGTAACGCTGTGTGGAAGCTACCTGGTCTGTCGCTCCGCACTAAGCTTCAGTTCTTCTCGGCCACGGTCATTCCCTCCCTTCTCTACGCTTGCGAAACGTGGATCCCCCTAATGGAACATCTTCGCCGGTTCGAAACATTTAGGCTAGCCTGCCTACAATCCATCCTGGGTTTAACCAGGCTGGATTGTGTGAGGAGCTCACAAATCTTAGAAAGATCTGGGTAAGGTCCCATCGGTGAGCTCCTCCGGCAGGCAAGGCGGCATTGGCTGGGTCATGTAGCCCGCATGCCGAGCCACCGCATGCCGAAACAGTTTTTGTTCGGCCGGATCGAGGGGGCTAAACGGGCGCGGCACGGGCTAGAGAAGAGATGGAGTGATGTGGTACAGGAGGACGTGGAGCTGAGTGGACTTGCCAATGACTGGTACCAGCGGTGTCATGATCGGCCTCTGTGGAGGAGGCTCGTGAAGGACGCTACTGGGCAGTTGGAGGCAGTCGCCCTCCAACAACAACGGAGGGCAGAGGAGCGACGCTCACAACAACGAGCGGAGCGCCGGGTGGCTAAAGTACAGCAGGTTGGCATAGTAGGGGGCACAGGTGGTGCATCAGCCAGTCATCTTAGTCAGTCGACCCGTGGCACTTGGGTCTGCCCCGTGACCTCCTGCCAGCGGGCGTTCGACACTTCACGTGGCCTCAAGGTGCACATGGCCTGGCACAAGCGTTGTGGTGACGTCACCGCCACTTAGTGGCGAATGGCGGTTGTTGTTGTTGTGTCTGTGTATGTGCCTGTGTGTGTGTGGTACAGCTGTGTGTGTGTGGTACAGCTGTGTGTGTGTGCTACAGCTGTGTGTGTGTCTGTGTATGGTACAGCTGTGTGTGTGTGGTACAGCTGTGTGTGTGGTACAGCTGTGTGTGTGTGGTACAGCTGTGTGTGTGGTACAGCTGTGTGTGCGTGGTAAGCTGTGTGTGTGTGGTACAGCTGTGTGTGTGTGGTACAGTTGTGTGTGTGTGGCACAGCTGTGTGTGTGTGTGTGCCTGTGTGTGTGGCTGTGTGTGTGTCTGTGTGTGTGGTACAGCTGTGTGTGTGTGGTACAGCTGTGTGTGTGTGGTACAGCTGTGTGTGTGTGGTACAGCTGTGTGTGTGGTACAGCTGTGTGTGTGTGGTACAGCTGTGTGTGTGTGTGTGGTACAGCTGTGTGTGTGTGGTACAGCTGTGTGTGGTACAGCTGTGTGTGTGTGGTACAGCTGTGTGTGTGTGGTACAGCTGTGTGTGTGTGTGGTACAGCTGTGTGTGTGTGTGGCTGTGTGTGTGTCTGTATGTGTGTGGTACAGCTGTGTCTGTGTGGTACAGCTGTGTGTGTGTGTGGTACAGCTGTGTGTGTGTGTGTGGCTGCGCTACCCGAATATGAGTGCTGGGTCCCTTCGCTGGAGATGTTGGAGGTTCCACCAATGGCCAGGATCCCATCCTTCTTGCTGATCGTCTTCCTGAACGTCTTGCCGATCTCCGTGCTCTTCAGCTCATGGTAAACCTGCAGGCACGTCGTCATCATCAACATCACCACCACCACCACCACAAAAACAACGGTCTCCCATATAGCCTCAACAGACTGTAGGGGCAAGTGCTGTTAGCGAGCACCTATGAATGCTGGCAACGGCACACAAGGGGGTGGGTGGCCAGCACCACGCCCGGCCGCCTTTGTCTCTCCGGTCGACCTAGGGCAGGCCCAGGACCCGTTCGGATAATCGTCACGGGTGTTGGTGGCCCCGAGCGGGAATCGAACCCGGGTCGCCGGGGTTTCGTAGCGCAGCATAGCGCTAACCTCTACGCTACCGCTCCCCCCACACACGTCACAAAGACAAAGGCCCACCGTATAGCCTTCGCAGATTGTTGGGGCAAGTGCCATCAGCGAGTAGTGGCAACACACGCGCGCGTGCACACGCAGGCAGTCACACGGACAGAGACAGAGAGACAGAGAGACAAGAGAGCCTACCGAGATGAACTCGTCGAAGCTGATGCGCCCATCCTGATCCGTGTCGCTCACGACCATGAGCTTCTGCACGATCTCGCGCACGCGGAAGCCCGGCATGGGCAGGTTGGCTTCGCGGAACAGATCCTGCAGCTCGAAGTCCTGCACGTATCCGCTGTTGTTAACATCTAGGGGAGGAGGGGGGGGGGTCAGGGTGGACAGGGTGGCGTAGCAGGCACGTGTAGAGTTGAGGTGAGGGGGGAGTTCACGGGCGAGTCCGTGGGTGACCTCGATCGCCACCCTGAGGTTGATCCAGGAATATACAGCGTGTTTGAAAAAGATGGACCCGATTTGAAATCGCTAAATCTCTGCAACCACGAACCGTCCACGAATTAATCTCTTACCACTTGAAAGGGCGGGGCATAGAGAAGGCGGGGCATAAAGAGGGCGGGGCATAGAGGGGCGGGGCATAGAGAGGGCGGGGCATAGTGTTTCAAATGATTACCGCTAGATGCCTCTCCCAGCGCACAAACAGCCCCTAGCCTCAGTCATTCGCTAGACAACGCTGCCTCAACGTTGGACAGGTCGCACGGAACCTCAAGACTTTGCGCTACACCCTTGCCCCCCAAGATCCCCAGACTTCACATCCTGCGACTTTTTCTTGTGGGGATAAGTCAAAGAGCGTGGTGTTTTTGTGCCACCATTAGCGACTAATCTGGATGACCTCAAAAACCGAATCACAGCAGCGTTGACTTCAGTGGAAGAGATGACACTTTGAGAGGCGTTTGGGACTAATTCAACTCTCGTCTCGATGTTGTCCGTACAGCAGGTGGAGGGCGCACGTAGAGCATTTATAAAATGGTTAGTAAAACTTGATAACTCATTAAACCGTTCGTAACTTTTTGTTGTAATTGTAACTGTAACATGTTGCCATCGTGAAATATACTGCTTTAAAATTGGGTCCATCTTTTTCTAACACCCTGTATATACACGTATGTAACGGCGAATCGCCTGATGGTGCAGTTTGCGGGCGTGAGCCCTCCTAACGTATGACAACAATGCCTGTAGCGACGTTGTTGATGGTGATCGTGCAGATGACGACGACGACGATGATGATATACAGTATTTGACGATTGTTGATGGTAATAATCGGTGATGGCGATTGATGTTGTTGACGCGAATGATGATGACAGTATACTCTTTGGTTATTTCGGTAAAACAGTCTGCATCAGCAGCAGGCCCACGCTTTCCCACCTGATCACGGACGCTTGTGTTGTGCCCGAAACGTCGTGATTTATTTTATTTTCTACCCACGTGACTTTACCGAAAGAACCAAAGAGTATGGATTCCTGCAGTCACGAAAGCTTCAAGTCAAGATTGATGATGACAGTGATGATTTTGGATGACGATGGTCGTCGTGATGATGATGGCATTGAAGGTGATGATGATAATGACGTTTGATAACAATAATTCAAACTAAATTTAGATTTAAAGCTTTCGTGACTGCAAGGATTCATCTTCTTTGGTTCTTTCGGTAAAGTCACGTAGAATGAGAATAAAATAATAAAATAGAACAATAAAATTCTCATGACGTTTCGGCCACAACACAAGTAGCCTTCATCAGGTGAAAGAACAGAACTGCCTTGGAGCACTGTCGTCCCGACAGTTCTGTTCTTTCACCTGATGAAGGCCGCTTGTGTTGTGGCCGGAACGTCGTGAGAATTTTATTGTCCTATTTTATTATTTTATTCCCATTCTACGTGACTTTACCGAAAGAACCAAAGAAAGAATAATTGTAACGTTTTATTTTTTCTACTTTTGCGTCGTCGTTTAAGCAAAATGCATCGCACATTCGCCGAGGCACCAAAGAGGAGGAGCTGGAAAGCAGCAGTCAGGTCGGTAGCCGGCGCTACCGACGATTTCCAAAGCTCTGCAGTCCTCTATATTTTAAGATATTTTCAGCCAACAAATGAGTGTATTTATGACGACGGTGACTATCACATTTATTTTGGTTGACAATCACGCTGCTGATGCTGATGATGATTGTGTTTGTTGATGTCGCCGCTGATGATGACGATGAGGGTGACGACGCTGATTATTGGCGGTGATAATGACGACGACGTCGACAAAGACGATGACGAGTTACCGATCTTGTCGAAGGCCTCCCTGATCTCCAGTAGCTCCTCCTTGGAGATGTGCGCCGTGTTGGACATCTTTGTCTCTCTCTGTGAGCAGAGTAGCCGGCACCGCTTGTCACAACCAAGCCTCTGCGATGGAAATCACGAGACACGCGGGAGATTGAACACTTAATTTGTTTAGAACTGCTTTGCGTGTTTAGGGGCCGTCCATAAATGACGTCACGCACTTGGGGGGGGGTGGGGTTGAGAAATGTGACGTCACATCAAAATGCGCAACTTTAAATAAATATAGATTTGTTTTCATAGTTTAGTTTCATTTCATAGTTTCATTTATTTGGTATAGTCCTGTGAGCCATTCGGCTCTTGAATTGGGTGCAACAGCAACAAACAAAAAATCAAAAACATCAACAAGAAAACATCTTAAAGTGACTTTGTGACTGTGAAAACAGAAAATCCAGGAAAAAAACATCAAAATATTCCTGAAATAGCACCGTACACCAACGCTGTGTGCGAAAATCCCAGTGGGATGCAAGTCAAACAACAAGAAGAAAACTTAGATTAAGGCCATCAGTCTTACTCCGTACTACAATAAACAAAAACATGGCCAAACCAAAATTTTTAGACATCACCAAAATAAAGCCATAAATGGAATGTAACAGTGATCATAGGAACTGTGACCGAATTTTTAACAATAAACTAGATAAACAACATGCAACACCAAACCCTAGAGCCACAGCTGGCTGCATGAGTCACTCCACAAACAACAGGAGCATCAGTCGGAGTATCACATTTTTCAATGCACCTTTAAGATCAGCACACAAAATCAAAATACAGATAATACTTTGCAGCGGTCATCCGGAGCGAAAACATTTTATTTTATTTCAGGCCACTGAATAGCAGTGGCAGCTCGGGGTGTACAACTCCTCTAGAGCAGTTTTGAGTGAAGATCTCATAGGTAGTGATTCAAGTTGCAGTTTATTGGCAATAGCATTCCAGACCCTGGGGGCATCAATAGCAAAGGCCATTCCTCCGGTTTTTGTACGGCAATAGGGAATGTGAAGCTGGTAGATGAGCGAAGACCTGAGGTCAAATTTGTTCTTTGAAACAGAGAGGAGATCCAGCAGGTAGTCTGCGGATTTTTTTTTGTAAGTACATCGTGAATAAATAAGATCTGGTGTACAAGCCGCCGAACATTAAGAGATGTTAAGTTTGACCCAATGTAGAGATCACAGTGGTGGGTCCTATATGGGCAGTTCAATGCAAATCGTAAGGCCGAGTGGTAGATGGAATCAAGCTTCTTCAGTACAGTACTTGGGGCTGATGTATACACGATATCACAGTAATCAAGTAGAGGCAGTATGGTAGCTTTTATCAATTCCAAACGGAAGCAGTGCTTGTGTCGATACAGAAAACCTATTGTTATTTTTGTCTTTTTACCAATATAATCAATGTGATCTTCAAAATTCAGTTTTGAATCCAGGATGACCCCAAGATACTTATAGGACTTGACTTGCTCTATTTGATTGTTATAACAACATCTGGCTGTGCCCCTGACATCGCTCCACGTTCGTCTGTGCAGCCTGGCCCGTGGGGGTGGATTAGTAAGCTGTAATAAATATTAATAATACAAGTTTACGTTTAACACGTAGGCTTTCGCGACCAATATCATCCACAATAGAGGTTTTGTTTTTGTTGGGTTAGATCGCGTAACTATAATTGTAAACGTTGTGGATTTACTCTCCAACACAACTGGTGTGCTGTACTCGTAACGAATTGGCATGTTCTGTTTACATGACAAACCTTACTAATTGGCTGAGTCGGGTGGTTGCGGGTTTAACGACACAATTATACTGGTAGTAGGAAACGTAGTGGACTGGAAGCCCAACCGGGATTAATTCACAAGAGGCAGGGGATTAATTGTGTATGTCTGTGGATGTCTGTCCACGTGTATCCGGACACCCGGATAAAATGGGAGGGGTGGGGCTGGGTGGAGAGGGGAGGGTGGGGAAGGGCTGGGGTGGGGAGGGGCTGGGTGGGGAGGGTGGGGCTGGGTGGGGGGGGGGGGGGGGGTGGGGCGGGGTGGGGAGGGGGCTGGTCACCCCGTGGTGCCCTTATATGGACTGGAAGCCCAACCGGGATTAATTCACAGGAGGCAGGGGATTATAACACTGCACTTTCTGCTGCGACCTCTTTTACACTGCAACTTTCTGGCGTTTTATAATTCTGCTCACTTTTAATTTTGCTTTCTTCTGCGCACGACCCTAACAAGTTTGGCTTCAATATCCGTACATAATTACTTCAAAATTTCCTACCAGCCCCCTCCGCAGGAATGTATTATTTACGCAGTCCGGCCAAAAAAACCCCACTTCGATTATGTATAAAAACTATGCGACCATCCGTTAGCTGAGATTTAACGAGTTAAATTTTTGTTGACTAAATTTTACGAACACCACAGAAATTTCAGCCGCCACGTTTATCAAAACCCGCGTGGGTTTTATAGCGTTCCGTACGATACAAATCGAATCACATTCGCTGGCGTTGCACATTCCGCTAATTAGTAAATACCGCTTTGGGGCAACTGTACAGTGGAGCAAGGTCCAACTGGCGGATGGACGTGTTTGGTGTTTCAGATACCTGTCAATGCCACTCGGGCAGCCCCTCGCGGTTACATCGCAACCGCCCGCAAACAGGCAGGATAAACACAGAGCCGTGTTCGTTTCGCCTTCGCCGCAAACTTAGTAGGGCGTTCCGATTATTACGTGCAAGTAAATTAGTGCGGATTTTTGTTGTAAAAATGTTAGCCCAAGAATGACTCCCCCCTTGTTTAAATTGTTGAGCAAACAGTTGGTGGCAGAGTCACAGGCAGAGTCACAGGCAGACTGACTGGGCATATTCGTGCACACATAATACAGAGATCTTTACAGACCTCTTGTCCGCAGCCCTGTTATCCGCAACTCATAGCATCCACGGCAGCTGTAGGGTCAGCAGAAACTCCTATTATCCGCAGCTATATATCTTCCTGTTATCCACGGTTAGCAGTGATTTTACCTGCGATGTTTAGCGAATCGGCTTCCTAATACTCGAGTCGTATGGAATATTCATTCTATTGCCTGAGGGGTTATCCTCCGGTAATGGGTGTTGCCATTACTCTTATCCGCGACGTTTTAACGGATAAGAGGAGTTGTGTTGAAAAAATAGATTATGTTATCCGTGTCGGGTTAACTAGCAGGCAGACAAAGGCAAAGACCCATGGACTCACCACAAAGACACCCATAGACTCACGACACAGAGACCCATAGACTCACCACAAAGACACCCATAGACTCACGACACAGAGACCCATGGACTCACCACACAGAGACCCATAGACTCACCACACAGAGACCCATAGACTCACCACACAGAGACCCATAGATTCACCACACAGAGACCCATAGACTCACCACACAGAGACCCATAGACTCATCACGCAGAGACCCATAGACTCATCGCACAGAGACCCATAGACTCATCACACAGAGACCCATAGACTCATCACACAGAGGCCCACAGACTCACCACACAGAAACCCACAGACTCATCACACAGAGACCCACAGACTCACCACACAGAAACCCACAGACTCATCACACAGAGACCCATAGACTCATCACACAAAGACCCATAGACTCATCACACAGAGACCCACAGACTCACCACACAGAAACCCAGAGACTCATCACACAGAGACCCATAGACTCATCACACAGAGACCCATAGACTCACCACACAGAGACCCATAGACTCACCACACAGAGACCCATACACTCACCACACAGAAACCCACAGACTCATCACACAGAGACCCATAGACTCATCACACAGAGACCCATAGACTCACCACACAGAGACCCATAGACTCACCACACAGAGACCCATACACTCACCACACAGAGACCCATTGACTCATCACACAGAGACCCATAGACTCATCACACAGAGACCCATAGACTCATCACACAGAGACCCATAGACTCACCACATAGAGACCCATAGACTCATCACACAGAGACCCACAGACTCACCACACAGAGAGTCATAGACTCATCACGCAGAGACCCATAGACTCACCACATAGAGACCCATAGGCTCACCACACTGATACCCATTGACTCACTACACAAAGATCCATTGTAAAAACAATGGAAGGAAGCGGACCATGGAATGATCATCGCGAAGTTTAGGATCGTGGATCCTTGGTAGTATGATTTGACTTTTTGTCGAGAAGAGGGAAATCATGTCGAAGACAGGAGATGGAACAGGGCCGTCGCTCGTGGTTTGTGCGGAGGCTCGTGAAGGACGCTGCTGCTGCTGCTGGGCAGTTGGAGGCAGTCACCCTCCAGCAACAGCGGAGGGCAGAGGAGCGACGCTCACAACAACGAGCGGAGCGTAACAGGTTGGCACGGTTGGGGGGGCATAGGTGGCGCATCGGCCAGTCGTCTCAGTCGTCTCAGTCAGTCGACCCATGGGCACCTGGGTCTGCCCCGTGACTTCCTGCCAGCTGGCGTTCGACACTTCACGCGGCCTTAACGCGCACCTAGCCTGGCACAGGTGCCTTGGTGACGCCACCGTACTTAGCGTCAGGGTCGGGATCGAACCCACGACCTCCTGTGTACCAGGCGAGGTAGTTAACATCTCCTAGGCACCGTGATGATGATGATGATGAGAGAGAGACACGCAAACTCCAAATATTACAACAGGCGTCAGGGTCGGGATCGAACCCACGACCTCCTGTGTACCAGGCGAGGTAGGTTAACATCTCCTAGCCACCGTGATGATGATTAGAGAGAGACGCAAACTCCAAATATTACAACAGGCGTCAGGGTCGGGATCGAACCCACGACCTCCTGGTGTACCAGGCGAGGTAGTTAACATCTCCTAGCCACCGTGATGATGATTAGAGAGAGACGCAAACTCCAAATATTACAACAGGCCGTCAGGGTCGGGATGGAACCCACGACCTCCTGTGTACCAGGCGAGGTAGTTAACATCTCCTAGGCACCGTGATGATGGATGATGATGATGAGAGAAGAGACACGCAAACTCCAAATATTACAACAGGCGTCAGGGTCGGGATCGAACCCACGACT